CCACTCTTGTCACACCGCCCTTTCTCGTGGCCTAGTTGATCAACATTCGTATTATCGTTATCGTTAATGCTAAACAATCACACCAGGGCGAACCGCGCTGTTGATGTACTATATATTGGTTTTGTTTTTTGAAGCTAGATGGCCGACCCGAGAAACATGGATGAGGAGGAGTTGATGATGAATTTGATCAACACTGGCACTCAAGTTGCCGGCGATGATGGTGCTAAAAATAACGTGCAAGAGGATGCGAGATGGATCGGAGTCAAGATTTAGCTCTTGAACAAAATGAGCAACAACAGATTGGCCAAGTATATATTTTTTATTATTAGCTATATATATTATCATATGTCTTTATGTGTGCTCATGACATTAAAAATAATGTTTATGTTTTGTAGCCCTCTGGATCGACATCAACAACTACAACGAAGAGTAAAAATGTTCGAGGTCCCAAAAAGCCATTGGAGGGCCGCTTCATCATCTCGGAGTTCAATGTGGATACAGGAGAACCGGGGGGCCGAATAAAATGAAATTTGTGCACCACTGTGGTTACCTTGTACGGGACCGGCTCCCGATTAGTACCCGTGAATGGAAGAAGAAGACCAATGCTCCTCATATCAGTTTTGTCTCCGATCGTGACAAGGCGTTAATTTGGAATGATGTCTTGGTACATTTCACGCTCCAAACAGATGGTTATGATGATATAATAGATGGTGATGAATTGAAGGAGCGAGTTAGGGATTGGGCAATGAAGAAGATGGCCACCCGGTTTGGACTTGAAAGAAACACCTATACACGACGTATGTCAAGAAGAACATAGCACCAGATTTTACCGTCCCAGCCCGATCTCAAAGCGAGAGGCCCTATTGGGATGAGTTTGTACAAGACAAGACTTCGGAAGAGGGTGTGAGTCGGGTGATAAAGAACCAACGTAATGCCCAAATGAAGACATACCATCATACCTTGGGATCGGTGGCTACCCAACCGCCATTAAGAAGTGGAACAAAATGGAAGCAGCACCTTCTTGCCAAGGGTATCGCACTGAATCACTCGAGTGGGGAGAACGTGCAAAGAATTGTTTTTTCGCTCATGGGGAACACTAGACCAGAGACAGAAGGAAGTGCGTTTATGGCGCAAGACCGCAAGAAGCAAAGCAGAAGATTGTTTTATGCTCGGAGAGCTATCGCTAGTGGTGCGTTCAGCCCAACAGAGAGAAGGATGAGTCGACATACGCCATCGGGATCTGTTGAACATGGTGGCGAACTAGACGCAAAGGAAGTGTCTCGTGGGAGCATGGATTCCTCAGATGACTTTCTTCTGTAAGTCGCCAGAGAAAGAAGGAAGAAGAGGCAGAGCGGCTCCGAGATTGGAGGAAGCGGTGCGTGAAGCATGAGGAGGAAAAAAACCTTGAAGCGAGAATGCAGGAGGAAATCAAGGCAAGTGCAAATAGCGGTGAGTGCAAGTAAGGTGCATCGAGCCGTAAATCAACATTAGCCAACTGTTGGGTTGAAAAGCACTGCGCTTCCACGGAGATACCAAATCAAGGGGACACAGATTGCGCTTCCCACGTGGATGACGCCATCGAACCTTGTACAACGTGTGAGCTACACATTCAAGGAGAATTCTACAATCAAGGTGGCTATCGGTCTTGTTAATCCTATCGACCGAACCAAGACACCAAGGATTCATGGGAATATAATACAAGAAGGATATGCTACCATCTCTCAGAGATAAAGTGAAAAAAAGGTTTTAGTGATTTGCCTCTTGACATTTCCTCGGAGGTGATGGCGAGAAGACTCTAGGAGAAGCGGAGAAGACATTCATTCTATGGCGCAAGCGCTACATCATCATTCCAGGATGTCGGCTCCACCTCCTCCTGAACTACCTCACCATAGGTAATGCGGATGAAAACACTACATCATTAATTTGTATTGGCTTAAATAATTAACAATCTACTCATAATAATATGTCATTCCTTTTTTTTGTAGCAGATCCTCCCCAACCTAAATTCAATTGTTCAATCGCCAGATCATCATAGTGCTCAAGACGATGACATTATGTTGGAAGACGAGGCTGCATCTACACCATCTCCAAGGAGGTCTCCAACGCCATGCACCGCCACCTCTAAGGAGGTCTCCAACGCCGCCGCCAATACCTCCAAGGAGGTCTCCAACGCCTCCCGCCCCCGCCTACCAAGAAGCCTAGCAAGAGGCCAACCCCTCAAACGAAGAAACCGGTCCTTTTGCGCAAAGAAAGCCACCGTGAAACCAAGGGCTATTCCCAAAATAATATCTCAAGAGAAGGAAGAAGGAACTGATGCATATAAAAAGACATGTCTAGATTCTATGACAAACTTAAAATGAATCAAGAAGCAAGGAGAAACCCGGAGAAACTCAGAGCTTCTTCAGAGCTCCAGATATTCTAAGAAAAAGGTGACTTCTTACCAAAGAACAACAATGAAATCTCGTAAGTCGTCCAAATCAACGTTATCAGACTATGACCGCACTCTCACCAAGTCAATTGAGGCGCATGAAAAAAGAAGCGGGCAGGAAAGGCATTGCCCAACTCGGATAACAAGCGCACCAATCAATCCCCCGCTAGTTGTTGGTAATGAATATGGTTCGAATTTAGGATTAATGCATCAGCAAACATACCTCCGGATGTCGATTTGGATCACCTTGGTGAATTTCTTGATGAGACCGATCTCGACCTTTACCAGATGTTTGGTGATGGAAACATTGAGAGTGCGCGGAGGTTGATATTTGGAAGAAAAAAATTTGTACTAGGCCGAGTCTATACAACCCTCAAGCCTTATCTCGATTTGGGGACGCAAATGTACCGCTAAACAAGTGGTACATGCAAGCGTCTACCAGTGGAGACTTCTGCGTTGGTGTCAGAATTAGAGACGAACATTGGTTCCGTGGCGATGATGTTATGTATGTTGACTTTGCGTAATTTCATCAACTATGCCACATGACCTCTCCGGACAAAGTTATCATTAGTCGCTATTGCCCTGTAAGTAATAATTCTTTTCGATCTATTATTAAACTCATCATATGTGTGTATATGCATATAAATTATCCTAACAAGTACTATATATATGCAGATTTACAATGATGAGCTCGAAAGGAAGGCTGCAATGAAATTGGTTTTGTTGATCCCCATATAGTATTTGAAGACCCAATTACTCCAAAGACTAATTGGAAGTCCGAGTCGAGAGTAACCTCATGAACTTCTTAGTGAACCAACGCCACAAGAAGGATATACTCTTTCCTATAACTTCAAGTGAGTGTTAATCATGTCGATCATATCCTTAATGGCTCATATGTTGATTCTAGTTAATTAATGAGTGTTATGCGTTATATCCTATAAACACATGCAAAGCAATCAATCGGATATTGATGGACATCGATCGGTGAAAAGTCACTTGATAATCTATGACTCGATGAGAAAACCACAACAAGACTACCAAGATATGATATATATTATCCAGAGGTAATTTCGGGATCTCTAGCAACTATATATACACACAAACATGATGATTAACTATATCGATGACGGTAAATTTTTTATTGGGCGGTGTTTGGAAAACCTTTATTGAGAAGCAACACATGGAAAAATGCAAAGCGCCAATCGAATGTAATCCCTTTGAAAGTAAGTCCCGAATCGCATCATCTTTATTAATTAAACATATAGCTTTCATTTGGATCACCAGATTGGATGACAAATCTTTTTCTCGTAAAGTGGTGTCTAAGGCAGAACAGGGAACAACTCTGTGGTTACTATGTTTGCAAGTTTATCAAGGTGCTCTCCCAAAGAACTCCTACAGAGAGACTCAAAGCACGTTAAAAATACATTATATATTCATTTAATTATTATTATTGATTGTGTTACTATGTCTTTATATATATATATATGTACATATATTAATTTATTTTCCTTTAATTCAAACTCAGAGACTCGATGGTTGGAGGAAAAGGTCATACGGCAAGACCAAATCAAAGCAATTCAAGAGTCTATAGCGGATTTTTTTAATGAGCAGGTCATCGATTCCAAGGCGAGTTCTACTTGACCCAACACCGCCATTGAAGCCAAGCTAGAGGATGAGAGGAAACTTGTTATGTCACAACAAGCTGTAATGCAATCTTTTGTAATATATGCACATGAAATAATATAATGTAAAATACACATATGCATGCATGCATGTAAATATATATATGATGCATGCATATATATATATATATATATATATATATATATATATATATATTTCTATGCTTGAATTGTGTGATTTAATACGTTCATTGTGCTTGAACCGAAACATACTATATGCGGCGTATAAATGTATAATTAGCAGTATAATACGACTTCAAAACCTATTTTGAAAAGAAAACAAAAAATGAAAAGAAAAGAAAAAAAGAAAAAACCTTTTAGTCCCGGTTCAGTATTACTAACCGGGACTAAAGGTGCTTGACCATCAAATGGCATGTCGGGGAGGCACCTTTAGTCCCGGTTGAGTTATTACCACCGGGACTAAAAATCCTCCTAGTCCCGGTTCGACCCGGGACTAAAGGACCCTTTAGTCCCGGATGCTTGCTCCCGGATGGGGAACCGGAACTAGAGGGGGTTCTCCACCGGGAGTAAAGCTCGGTTCTCTACCAGTGTCTGCCCTAGGAATTCCAAGGCCAAGAGACTGTCAACACTGTCTAGCTTAGTCTCTTGGAGACAAATGCTGCTTGGGCCAGCTTGTTGGATATTCAGAGCACGACAGACACAATAGCTGGCCAGCAAGTTGCACGGTACACCTGCCATCGGGCCACAGCCCCCAAATTCACAGTGCCGCGTTCTAGGAACGCACCAGCCAAACACTAACCTCCTGCTGAAATGACAAGCACAACTGATTAACAAATCTAACTGGACCGGTAGAGAACCGGCCGGCTCTGGCTCTATCCTAAGATACATTGATAAGAGGAACTGCTGCTGCTCCCTCTGCATCTGCAAATCTAAGGAACCTCCATCTCTGCTACTTCAGACTCAGCTGCAATGGCTGCAAGCGCCCTGGAAAGCTCCTTGTTCCCCATGCAAGTGGCTGCTCTGATGGCCTTGACCGCCTCCTCTGGGCGGTCGTCCCCGTACATGTCGACGTAGGCTGTGACTGCTGCATCCGGTGCCGCCGACTTGCCGTTGATGAAGAAGAGCTCGCGCATTAGCTTGTACTGGGCACGCTCGGCAACCGGGACCGAGGATGGTCGAGCTGCCAGACGCGTACTCGAGCGGGTGGAGGCAGTAGGAGCCCTCCTCCGGCCTCTGCTGCTGGTTGGAGGGGGCGGAGGACGCGAGTCCGGCCTCTGTAGCATCGGAGCAGGGGCGGGTTTGAACATCCCCGCACAGAAGGCAGCATAATCATTAGGCCCCTCTGCAGTCTCCTCATCAGAAGTGTGCCGGCCAGTGGCATCCCGGATGGCTGGATCGTCCACGTCCGAGACATCCCCGGTGCCTGGGCCGATGTTCAATAGCTGAGGCGCCGGCCCGAAGACCACCTCCTCAGGCTGTAGGGGCTGGGCCGAGGAGCTTGCGCCGGCCCACAGCTTGCTGACGAGTCGGTACTCCGGAGAGGTAGACCTGTTGTCGGCATTATCGTCCGACGAAAAGCACAACGGTGCGCCAGACAGCCTGGTGCAGGCATGCTCGTGGACCATCGGGTCGTCCTCCTGAGACAGGGTCGTCTTGTCGCCGTCCGAGTCCCTGAAGCTGAAGTAATCAAGCAGTGTCATGACTTACCGACGGAGCGAAGCGCGGATATCTTTCCTAGGCTCGGGCAGCCGGGGAGCGCGAGCGCCGGCGTTCCCAGTCCTTCGAGGTGTGTGCGAGGGCCTCCCGCCCACGCACAGCCCTCCGTGGCGAGCGGCTGCTGGAACTCCCCCGGTTCCTCGGGGCTTGGTCACCATCCCAAGCCCAACGGTTGGCCGACGGCGAGAGGGTACAGACACGGAGCGCGCGCTCCGAGCTGCAGTTGGGGAAGAGCTGTCGGGCTATGGTGCTATTGGGAACGTCTCCACGGCAAGGCGGTTCGCGGAAGTCGTCGTCGTTGTCGTCATCCCTGGGCGCCCTGTGCTCCAGCGGTGCACGACAAACGTCGGGACGCACACGCCCAGTCGGAGCTGGCCGCCCGTCAAGGACCCCCACCGCCCACTCGAATGGAATGACAGTCGGTGCAGAGCTGCCGTGCTCAGAAGACGTTCTAGAGCCTGTGTCGTCAAGTCTTCTTGGACTCCAATCCTCATATCCCGCCATGTGGATGAGGATGACCTTGTCAGCGCCCATCCCGATCGGAGGAGACGATGGAATGCACGTCAGTGCCACGAGGCCGTTGATCTCCATGGTCTGCTCTGCCCGCGCTGCGAAGATGGTGTACTCCAACTCTCCAAGGACCTCGGGCGGGACGTGCTCCATGGTGACCTTGACGTGGTACCACCAGGTGCGCTCTGGACCACCCCCAGCCGTGAGCCACGGCTGGATGGGGATGATGGAGCCTCCAATCTCAATGTACCCCTTGCAGAGGGCACGATCCTTCTCCTGCGGCTCCCCGAACTCCGCCACGACTCTCCAGGGCCATACTTGGTGACGCTGATGCTTTGCTGAGGCAGGTGCAGCTGTCCGGCCAGAGCATAGGCCACCTCCGATGCGTTGGAGCGGTGGCCCGCCGGCGATGAGGAGATGATGGCAGCGTGAGCCCTGAGTCTGGTTGCCTCACGGTGCATTGCATCCCTGGCAACGATGCTGATGCGGTGGCGCACAGGGCGCTGGTAGGCGAGGCCAGGGACGTGCACCATGTCGGGCTTGGCAGCGGCGGTGGGGTGGGCGGGATCTGGGAGCGGGGGGAATACAATTCGACTGTGGATGCTTTCCGGGGGGAAGGTGAGGCGGGAGCGGAGCTGGGCAGAGATGGTGCGCGGCCGGCGAGATGGGCAGGAGCGGGCTAAGTGCCCGATCCCCCGGCAGAGGATGCAGCGGACTGGATCTCGGCACTTGGCGACGTGGTGGTCGGATGCGAGGCAACGAAAACATCGCCCGGCGAAGCGCCTCTTAAAGGCGTCCCGAGCCGCGTTGGGCACACCTTTGGCCGCCGGCTTGGGCGTGGCGGTGTCCGGAATAGATACGGCAGCTGTATGTTTCCGGCGTCCGGTCTTCGCCATTTGCCATTCGGGTGAAGGCTGCACAATCACCGATTTGAACTTGGCCGGCGCAGCACCTCCGGTCCTCGTCGGGTCTTCTGGTTCCGGACGGGGGTGCGGCAGAATCGAGGCAGCAGCCATCGTTGTGGCGGAGGGTCCGTCGGATCCCGCCCCGCCAGTCGCCAGCTCCGTAAGCGCGTCGGTGGGTGCCGGGGAGCCGGATCCAGGCATCGGATCATCTGCAGCATCACCATCTTCAGCTTTGGCGTTGGGGGATGCGGCGTCGTAAAAGTGGACAGGGCTCTCTGCATCGCCATAATCCACCAGCTCCTCGTCGCCCGTGTCGAGCAGAGGTTCCGGTTCTTGCGTAGATGGTGCCGATGGGGTGCGGTGCACTGTTTCTGGAAGGGGGGAGGAGGGCCGGGGTGGGGTGAGGTGGATGACGGCGTCAGGGCAGACGCCGGCGGTGAGGTGGGCGGTGGTGGGGGTGGCTCTCGCTCTCCAAAGCTCTCCGTGGGTTTCCTTCGATCTGCTGCTGTGGAGGGGGCTCCCGGGCTCGCAGTTGTACGGACGCGTGCGGGAGCTGGTGGGGGATGCGGGAGCAGAGTGGATTGGTGAAGCGAGCTCGGGGCGGCGGAGGATCTGGGGCGGTAGCTGGCCGGCGGAGGCTGACTCCACCATCGCGTTGGGCTCGCTCTCTGTAACGTAAGCCATGCACCTGCAACCAAAGTGATAAACTGCTCGGAAGAAAAGATGAAAACAAGTTTCTTCTACACCATTCAAACATAGGACAGTCCAATTAAAAAGTATCATTCGCTCATTTATTATGAGAAAAAATACTGTTATATAAAGTTCAAACAAATAGAACTACAGTCATAACCTTCCTAAAAAACAATTCTTTTTTCTCATAATATTACCTGTGTTCAGCCTCTCATCGAACAACACCCAAGCGAGAAGAACTTGAGCTTTGACATACATTTACTTTGCCAAATCCATTTCAAAGGTGGAGGAGGATGCAAAGACTGAAAGTCGGATTTGTAGAACTTTCCGGAATTATAGGAAGTTGACCCCCAGGACCAAGTGTATTTCTCACCGGTTCTGGCACTATGTAAAAAAGCCACATATCGACCACGTCACTACAGACATCAGCAATAAAGCGCGTCTGCGGTAATTTAACTCCAGACACGCCTTCTTGATGCGCGTCTGTAGTAAGTCGCCGGCGGGGGTCGCCGGTCCGGTGAGGTCAACACGCGTCTGTAATAAGCACTTACTGCAGACACGTGTTGGTAAAACGCGTTTGTGCTAATGCTACATACGCGCGTTAATCAAACACGTCTGTATCTACATCAATTATTACAGATGCGTGTTGTGATTTCGGAGTCTCGGATAACGGGATCAAAACCTACGGACGCGCGTACGGGACACACGTCTGCAGTAATATCTCTTATTGCAGACACATGTCTCCAACATGCGTCTCTAGTATTCCTACTTGTAGTAGACGTGGCCTGCTTTATACGCGTCTGTACGTACTTTTATAGCAGACGTGTGTTCCGTACACGCGCATGTAGTACTTGGCCTGCGGACATAGCCGTTGGCACGTGCTAACGGGCAGAGGTACTTAGCGCGTACGGAACACAGCGGGCAGTTATGGCCGTGGGCTCTTGCGCGGCTCTCAAGCGGGCGGCGCTGGCTGTCGTTGCGCGCGGTGTAGGCCTACGGCTTTGAGACGCGCGGGCGGAGTTGGCGGGCGGTGGGCAGAGTTGCGTGCAGCGTCTTGTGAGTGGGTGTGGCGAGGCGCTTGGCCGGCAAGAAGCAGCGGCGGAAGGAGGTGTGATGGCCGAGAGGGGCGCGCTTCTTGGGTTGGGCGGCAGTCGAGTGGCTGGCTCTTTGCGCGGGCGAGGCGGCGATGATGGCCGTGAGGGCTGTGCTTGCGTGGGTGGCTAGGCGTGCTTTGGTTTCCTCCAGAACGCTGGTGGCCAGGCCATGCTCTCCGCGTCGGTGAGCCGCTGGCGCTCCTCTCTTTCCCTCTTCTCTGCCAGAGCACTGTCGGGCCGCTCAACGGTGAAATTCATCGCCGTTGTTCCATCTTCGTCCAATTGCCCGTGCTCCCAACTCTGCCTAGTTCATGCGCTCCTCTTCGAGCCGTTGTAGCCACCTCTCGCAGCCACAATCACCTTTGGCACCGGTTGCCACCGCGGCCGTGCCACCATTGCCGCCATGGGCACCTCGCCGTGGCCAACTCGTTCCAGAGCTCCTCTTGTGATCCCGTTTATTGTTTTAGCTCCCCTGCAACTCTGTGATGCTCATCGGCTCCATTCTTTGACCTCTACCGTGCAGGTGCGTCCGCTCCTCCTCCTCTTCTTTGTCCTAGGTTCACGCCGCCGCACGCGCCATCACCGCCAGCCATTTAGCTCCGCCTTGTCCTAGGTTCAACCAAGCAGCTCATCGACATCGCGGTGAGCTACCAATGCTGCCTGAGCCCTTCGACTAACCACTACCATGTTGTATTGGCCGGAGCACCGCCACGGCGCTGTTCTGTGTCCGCCGCACTGCCATGGCTACGGTCGAGCTCGAGTCTGACTCTAACTCGTTCATCCCTACAGTGTACTCGATTAGGTGTGCTCCGACCATGCTTTACCATCTCGAGCTATAGGGGATCGCCGGCGTGCTTTGCTCTTCGGCCTCCTGTTCTCTGGTGTGTTGAAATGTCCTAATGGCTAAAGGGGGGGGTGAATAGCCTATTAAAATGTAACGCCCTAGAGTCCAAACGACTTAGATCCACTTTGCACACTGAGCAAACCACACATACCACCATCCCACTTGCGCTTTCATCCTCGCTTCGTGTAAAAGGATTAACCCGGGGATGGTGGGATGGGCTCTAGAAGCCTTATATGTTGGTCTATCCCTCCTTTAACAACCAAGGTGGGACTAAACTCTCCACAATATCTCATTAACTTGCATATGGGCCACTATGGGCCAAATTCCAAACTGGGCCGGATGTCACATACACCCCCCTCAAAGGAACCGACGTCCTCATTGGCCCAACACACCCACAACCGGGCAAACGATAACCAGGAACGTTCCCTCTTAGCACACGCAACCGTGCGCCCAGTGCCGGCACATGTGCCATGCCGTGCACCCCGTAGGGCCTACACGCACAATGAACCCCATGTCCGTGCTCCTAGCCTACACACGCCCGTGGCGGCAAAGGTCGTCTCTGATACCATTTGTAAAGCCCCAGAGTCCAAATGGCTCAGATCCACTCTGCACATTGAGCAAACCACACGTACCACCATCCCACTTACGCTTTCGTCCTCGCTTCGCGTAAAAGGATTAACCCGGGGATGGTGGGATGGGCTCTAGAAGCCTTATATGTTGGTCTATCCCACCTTTAACTACTAAGGTGGGACTAAACTCTCCATAATATCTCATTAACTTGCATATGGGCCACTATGGGCCAAATTCCAAACTGGGCTGGATGTCACATATCTTTGTAGCACCCGGTTTTAAAGACAAAACCAGATACACACTATATATGAGCCCAGGAAATCAAATCTCACATATAGCCACAAATAAGGGTAATATCAAGACACAATACTTATTACATAACGTATTAGTAAAAAAGGAAATAACCTCAGAGTAAAGACAGTGGAAAGTTGACTCCGATCTTCAGGCGAAGACTCCAAAATCCACAGGGACGACTGACTGGTTGACCACAAGCCTAACTCCTCCAAACCAACAATCTAGTACCCATCTGGGATTTTTATCCAAAGTATAGAAAAATAAAGCAAGCGTAAGTATATGTCGTACTTAACAATTATATTATGGGGTTCATGAGGCTCAAAAAGGCTGACACTGGTTTACTGCGATTAGCTTTAATAGGTCATCTTTTTAAGCAGTTGGGTGGCAAAGAATTTATCATTCCCATAAACACATGATCAGGTAATCATGAATAATGTATAGTGTAAACAATTGATCATTAGTATAATTATCCATTAGAGATCATCTCTATTCCATAAGGGTCCAAGGCCGCTCGTGACCGTGAGCACGGCTGTTATAACAGTTTTACACTCTGCAGAGGTTGTATACGTTCACTGTGAGTCGTGATTTACCCTTTTGCCTGAGGTAGCTAATCTCTTGACCCACTTCTAAGGAAGGTCGGCAGGGTTCACTATGAAGCCTTTCAAAGGATTCGTCTAACAAGTTAGGGCCGCTAGGCGTATGTGGCCCATCTCTAGGAGTGGCACGCGTGGGCATCGTAGCACGGTACACACTTCCCAGCAGCAAAGGAAACATACCCTGCGCCTTAAAGGTAACCACTAACAAGCTAGAAAAGATCCTCATCTTGAGCTAAAAGCAGAGCCATATGGCCCTCTCACGGTTGTCTTTGTAAGTCCCGGATGATAAACATGATAAGTCCTTAGAGAGAGGAATCTGAAGCATATAAATACTCCAGCCCCCTGTTTCCATGTTACTAAAAAGTCATGTTTTAATGTTTATTGCATATACCATTAATCAAGTTACAAGATCATGGTTTAGTTAAGCACTAGCAAAAACTACCCAATGCAATATCCCAAAGGTATCAAGGTACAAGATATCAAATATCTAGGGTATCCTTACTGGCAAACAAGGTAGACACATGCAATATGAATTAAGTGTTTAAATGTGAATAGGTAACAAGGATGGTCCCATGCTATACTTGCCTTACACACCGATCCTTCGGTAAGCTTTAATCTTCACGTCCTTCTTCTTCTTCTTGGATCACCACGTGTATCTCACCGATTGGACGTAATCGTAGAACACCACACAAACATCCATAAACATACATGTGTAGCATACAATATCATCTATATCAGAACAATACACCAATCATAGAAAAATAAGTAAAAGAGATTGATATACGATTCTACGCATCGTTACGAACACACAGTTGCGAGAAGCATGCTAATCGGAGCTACGGTTGAAAAGTTACAACTTCCGAGAGATTTGCCTTATACGTGGAAAAAGAAAACTATAGGCTTTATTTATGTTAACCATATGAATTCATATATAAAAGATATTTTAAAAATAATATAGATTAAACTAAGTCAATTTTATATTTGAATTATAAACTTAAAGTAAAACAAATCATATTTTATTTATAAAATCCAGTTGCATAATCATTAATCAAGATATGATTTAAACTATGATTTTTATGAAATAGTAATATAGTAAACATCATTACTAATGCGTAGATCTCGTCGTTATGAAACAAACGCAACTTGAACGGACTTTTTCGGAGTTAAAATGAATAAGTTATGATTTAAATAAGTTTTCATTTAGTTAAATAGTAAATTAAATCTACCCATGAATTTCAAGTGTTGAAAACATGCCTAACAGTTGTATAAACATGTAGAATATGTAAATACGATCATAACGCAATTCGAACGGATCAAATTGAACTTAAAACGCAAAAGTTACGCATGAAATAAGGTGTAATGGCATTTCTGTAATTTATTAAACTCAAATTTGAATTAAAACAATTAAAAATTTGAATTTAAATGGATTTTGGACTGGGCGTACTATTTATGGAAACTACATGGACTTAAACGATTAAAATTAGGGTGGATTTGTAATTCTTTTGAACTGCTAGGGACTGCGGGTTGATTAACAAGAAAACACGAGGGCTAAATTGCAAAACG